CTCTAATCACTTGACGTCGCAAAAAAGAGGCACTATTATAGGATTGATGGATAAAGTTTTGATATGCAAAATATCACATAAATAATCTAAAATCGGTAATAATGATTCTGCTCGAGAACGACTATCCACTAGATTTTATTTTTGGTATGATTAATGATAGGATTCACCATTTAAAGAAGAAAAAAATAGGCTTACAGGAATCATCTAATATTGATAATTCAATGGTACGAACAGTTTGGTTTACGGTACATCCGTATCATCAATCACGGAAAAATTTAATAGATTCAATAATAAGGACACAAAAGTTTCTTTTTACAGCACAAATAAATTAAAAGATTTATTAAAACTCAAAAAGATCCGTGCCCACAATTTAATAAAAATAATACGGTATACAAAATCAATTGTAGAGATTGTGATACGTCTTATGTTGGTCAAACAGGAAGACAACTTAAGACGAGAATTACAGAACATCGTAACCGTTAAATATAAATTGGAAAACTTCCAATCTTTCGATAATAACCGAACATAGACTATAATTCAAACATGAATTTGATTGAGATAACATTTTAATTATGGATAAAGAACCGTGTTACAGTAAACGTTTAATTTATGAAATGATTAATATTAGAAAACAGGAAAAGTTTAAATCTACAGACGGACTATAGATCTTCATAAATCATATTTTAATAATAAACAGTATATGACTTTGCATTACCGGTACTGCGTATATTTTGCGAGTCTTCGTTTAGTCGTCGTTTATCTTTTGTAACATTTACATGTGTTAATCTGACCATCTCGTTTATTAAATTATACTCTTTTTACATTAAAAAATGTTAATAACCATCACTGGACACATGTTTTAACATTATCATATTTTGTAACTTCTCCGGTGAGTTTTATTTTGATTAATATTTATATAAATAAAAAATAGTTTGGATTGTTTTCAATTTTGTCATATTATTCATAGATTCATTGAAATTTTAACATTTAGTCGATCAACTGGGAATAATTTCTGTCTGTCAACGTACAATCCATCGGAGATCGTTAACTTATCTTGGTATTATCGTTTTATTCTACTGATTGCGACTGCTATTATAGTAAATCTGAAGATGGCGATCAAGAAGCCGAAACATGTAATTATTGGGCGAGTTCAAGACAGCAAAGCGGCTAGGCATGCTTACCGAGCGATTGTATATAATTGGTTGGATCTATAAGTAGCAACTAATTATGTTCATTCTCGGCGAGTAGGCTACCCGCTTTGTCAACTTGAACGCACCCATTGTTTGCTTAGATCATCGAGATATTTTATTATTATGAGATATTTTATATGTTATATACCATCAAGATTTTTAGAGGAATCATGTCAAGAATCTGTATTATAGTTATATGTTTTTATTCAAGTTTTATTGATTTTTGACTCTTATATGCCTTTTACTTAGATTTATTTTTATTTAATTAGATGATTGAAATAACGTTATATATCGTAAACTTTAATTGATAATGTAGAAGTAAATGACATGGACGGTGACAAAATTTAATAATCAGGTTTGTTACTTTCTTCAAATGTTTTTTTTTAAATAATATTTTACATTACATAACATTTATATTAATTGTACCTAATATGAAATATAAAAATTGGAAAATAATGCAGTGGAATTAGTGTCTCTAATTTAATAATTTCTATTTTACATTAATATATTTAATAATAAAGACTGCCTTTCAGATACAAATTTTATTCTATCACTTTTAATTTACAAGTGACTTATTTTATGGTTGTCAATTACATTTCCGAGTCTAAAATAGATATAACAATCGATCGAGCCGCGATCAAGATTGCTTTTTAAACACGCACATAATTTAATTTCATATATTTTCCACATACTCAATATTATTTTTATATTACTCACTGTTACATGGTCAATGCTCTAAATATGTCGTATGCTGTTTGGATTAACTGTATTGACTTACCTGATTGATCAACATTCAATTCGCGTCGAATATATTGATTAAAAGTTTATGCCCTTTCCGTATGATACTATCTACATTATTATTGTTGCGATGTTAGTGTTGTTAATATATCTATATATAATCTAATTATTGTATTGATGTTGATGTTGTTAATTTGATGTTTTTGATGTTGTTTAGTCGTTGTTTGTTTAATGTTTGCACTATATTGTTGCACCTGGTGTGTCCATTTACACACACTTACATATGTACATGTATATACTTTTATCATGTATTATGCGTACACGTATTATTTATGCCGTGCACAAAATAAATTACTTGCGCCATCAAAAAGTTTATATTATAACTACACAATATATACTTACTACACACACACACATACGCGCGCGCGCACTTACATACACACATACACACACACACACTTGTGTGTGTTTGTGTGTATGTGTGAATGTACATCATGTAAGAATATAAGGCATTTCGCTTCCAAGATGCCAAGATGCCAAAGTGTTGACCAATCAGAGAGTTGTAGCAAATACAAAAGCAATATGGTTGCTCCTATGATCTACGACAGATTGAGTTAAGTTATATGTTGCCACAATACCATATCGCGCAGATCGCGCTACATTTAATAATAAATTTTGATTGGCTACTTTGAATTCGACCGTCATCATGCGCAACGATTCTGTAAGCGCAAAATATTCCTAGAATGTGTAATATTATTTAAAAAAATTAAAATAATATTATTATGATATTTCAAAAATATTATACAATATTTTTCAATATTTTGAAAATAGTTTATATATGTTACATGTCCATTCTACATAATATCCTTGATATTTAATGTCTCTGAAATATTAAAATATTAATATTATTTATTTTTATATAAGTGTAATTTAAATTCACAAAACAAAAAGATGTTATCGATCTATGCTGCATCTTAATGCTTAAGTAAATTTCGATGTGATTTCATGTACATGACCGGTTCTACAACTGCGCGCCAAAATCATTTTCAGTCTTTAAACGTAATCTTAAAGTGAATTGAAGTAACAGTTTTACAAATGAAAGTAAATTATAATATTTTTTAATGTTTATACAATATTAAAATAAAATTAAATAATATTACTTTTAATAACAATCATATAATATTATCAGGAGTGGACACATAACCATCCATTAATATCTTAGAAATATTATTTAATATTATATAATTTTAATAAAATATTATTGAAACGTTATATTTAATATTTAAAAAAATGTGCTTAAAATATTATTGAATAATATTATGCGCTTATAGGACGAAACGTTTTATATTCTTACATCATGTGTGTATGCGTGCGTGCGTGCGTGCGTGCGTGCGTGCGTGCGTGCGTGCGTGCGTGTGTGTATTGTGTACGTATAATGTACATGTATATAAAAGAATTATTGAAATATGGCATTAAAATCTTATCTCTTCTTGTATATAATAAATTAATAGCACATGATTGTTGTAATGCGATTAAGAGATCTAATTGATGATTTAATATTTAATATTTAGTTTTCTAAATAAGACTTGTGTGTGTATATATTATTTTGCATAAAATATGACGGTATCGAGCGTCTCGATATAAAGCGTCGCGACGGGAATAAAGCCATAACAATAATTATAAATATCGTTTATGCAATATATTTTGTCTACATTATATTACACATGTATTTTCATAAACGTATATTTCATCCATTCGGTCTCACGCTTGGAATGCATCATCCAATGCATATGTATATGTGTATGTATGTACGTCATATATATATATATATATATAT